ACGTGGCAGACAGCTGCACCACTGCAATAATAAAATTATGCCCCATGCTAAAATTAAAATTCATTAACTTCTTCAGGTGCCTGCTAATCTCAGCAGTGGAAATACAATAGAGAACAAAATAGTTTCTGTCCTCATGAAGTTTACACTATAGTAAGGGAAGAGAGAATAGACAGCCACAACATATGTGAAAATTACTATGAGAAAAAGGAAGCCGATGAAGCCATGAATTCGGAGAGGATAAGCTTGATACTCTTTACAGGATGGTCACAGAAGACCTCACTGAGAAGATGCCTATGAAAAACACAGCCCAAGAAAGTAGAGGATTAAACTGTGTGGACATCTAGGGAAACACTTTCACTCAGAAATAACAGTAAGCAGAGTCTCTAAGGTCAGAGTATGATTAACATGTTTGAGAAACAGGGAGAAGGCCAGTGTGACTGGAGCTAATTGACCTGGCGGAGAGAAGCAGGCAAGGAAGTCAGGGAGCCTACTCTGCAGGGCCCAGAGGACTGCCATCGACACGACTTGGGGTTCTGCTCCAAATGAGATGGGAAACCACATCTGAGTGACATGCAGTATGACCTACTTTTTATTTTCAAGGATCGGTTTGGTTGCTGCCCTCAGAAGGACTGTAAGAGGACAAAAGCAGAGGTAAGGCCACTAAGAAGTAATCACCGTATCTGGGCTGACGCTGGCTTGAACAGGGTTGGCATGGTGAGGGAAAGTTGTCAGATTCTGGAAGGAGAGCAGAGATAGAACCAATGGGACTTACTGATGGAATGACAGACCAAGTGTGAAAGAGTGGGGTCAAGGATGACCCCAAGGTTTTTTGGCCTTGAGGGAGAGAGGCGGGAGCTGCCATTTACTGAGATGAGCGAGACTGTGGGAGCAGCAGATTGGGAGTGGGGCCTGGGGGGCAGCAGAGGGAATCAGTTTAGTTCTGGTTTTAAGGGGTCCAAGCAGTGGTGTGAGATAAGCAGTTGGATATGTGACGATGATGTCCTGGAGACAGATCTAGCTGATATATAAATCTGGAAGCCATGAACGTACAACTGGTATTTAAAACCATGAGACTGTTTACGGCAATTCACATACCTTAAAAATGAGCTGTGTGAAAATATTAATTCCAAAGTTGATACTCAGACTGAATTGCTAATTTTTCCTTCACTTTCCATCACTCCTGTATATTAAAGTGAGTTGGCATTGTAACGCCTAACAGCATTCCTCACAGACATTCAAATTGGATGAATTATGGACTTTCAGAATAACTGTGACAATAAAATACAGGAAAATCTTCCCCATTTGTTAACTATACAATAACTTTATCTCTTCAGAATGTGGCTAAGAATCAAAAGTGAAAACAGGCCTCTGGGTAGACATGGGCAGTCATAAAATCCATGCAATCAAGTCCATGGACTTTGGCAACTAGTAAATGTCCCTGAAAATATCTGTTCTAATCTGGAACATGCAAACGGCAGTCTAGGACCATTTGGTCAAACAGGCAGAGGACCACCAAAGCACAAGGTCTCATTAGCTCCTTAGGGCACGCACATATGTATAACAGGGCACCACAATATAAATAGATAAAATATATAGATAGTAATGATAGGAATCTTTTCTTAGGTTCCTTTGTTCCAGATACAGTACTATGCTATATATCTTTTAATATACCTCTTCATTTCTAATCCTTACAATTCCTCAAAGTGTCAACAATATTATTCCCATTGTTCAGATGTGGAATAGAAGCCGAAAAGGATTAATATCTTGATCACACTCATATCAAAACTAGTAGGGTCGAGACTGGAACCTAATTCTGCCTGAACCCAAACCCAGTATGCTTTAAACTATACCATAAGGAAAGGTGAAATTATACTCTACATACTCTTGTGAGATGCTAAGGGAATTATCCATTATCATCTGTTTAAATTTATTTATTTATTTATTCATTCATTCATTCATTTATTGGCTGCATTGGGTCTTCACTGCTGCACGCGAGCTTTCTCTAGTTGCGGCGAGAGGGGGCTACTCTTCGTTGTGGTGCACGGGCTTCTCATTTCAGTGGCTCCTCCTGTTGTGGAACACGGACTCCAGGCACACGGCCTTCAGTAGTTGTGGCACGTGGGCTCAGTATTTGTGGCACACGGGCTTAGTTGCTCCGTGGCATGTGGGATCTTCCCGGACCAGGGCTCAAACCCGTGTCCCCTGCACTGGCAGGCGGATTCTTAACCACTGTGCCACCAGGGATGTCTCTGTTTAAATTTTTAAACTTGGATAAAGTACCTGGAGAAAAATTCATACCTTGATGGTGGATAAACCAAAGCAATAAATAATGCTCTATACTCTCAATTTCTAAAAAAATATAATATACATGCAAAGCAATAAATAATGCTCTATACTCTCAATTTGTAAAAACATATAATATACATGTAGACTGGCTGCTATGCAAAAATACAAAAACAACATTTTCTTGCTTAGGTCAAGAATGATATTCCAGGGACTTCCTTGGTGGCGCAGTGGTCAAGAATCTGCCTGCCAATGCAGGGACACGGGTTCGAGCCCTGGTCGGGGAAGATCCCACATGCCACGGAGCAACTAAGTCCGTGCGCCACAACTACCGAGACTGTGCTCTAGAGCCCGCACCACACGCCTAGAGCCCATGCTCTGCAACAAGAGAAGCCACCACAGTAAGAAGCCCGCGCACCGTAACGAAGAGTAGCCCCTGCTCACCACAAGTAGAGAAAGCCCGCGCACAGCAACGAAGACCCAACGCAGCCAAAAATAAATAAATAAATTCATTTAAAATAAAAAAAGAATGATGTTCCACTTGGACAACAATAATCTAAATAATTTTGTTCAATACAACAGTTTCTTAAGAACATTATTTTAAATAAAAATGACTCAAGGGGGGCTTCCCTGGTAGCGCAGTGGTTGAGAGTCCGCCTGCCGATGCAGGGGACGCGGGTGCGTGCCCTGGTTCGGGAGGATCCCACATGCCGCAGAGCGGCTGCGCCCGTGGGCCGTGGCTGCTGGGCCTGCGCGTCCGGAGCCTGTTGCTCTGTGGCGGGAGAGGCCACAGCAGTGAGAGGCCCGCGTACCGCCAAAAAAAAAAAAAAAAAAGAGTCAAGGGAAAAAAGAACACAAAACACTTGTTTCCTGAAAATAAAGGCCAAAAGTTAGAAGAAAATGTAAGATCCGCATGTCAGCCTTGTGCCTGAAAACCTCTGGAATTATTTCCAATACTCCTTTGTTATTCAGTTTAGAATATTAAATTTTTAAAAATCATAATATCATAAAATGGCAATGACAGATGGGAAGCACAGGAAGAAATAAAATCAATAAACAATATAAATAACTTACATTTTACTCATAAAATTAAACTTCCTCCCTCACTGATCTAAACCAAATTTCAAACAAGTAATGAAACCGATTACGTTGAATTTCAACCCTACTAATTTTGCAAATGAAGTACCACAGCACTCTAGATATGACAAATGTCCAAGAAATGTTCCCCATAAAGCAATTCCAAGAAGGCAAACAGAGGGAGAAACAAATGATAAAATCCGTCCCAAATCTACAAAGAATGCTTCCTACCCCGCCACACCCACTACAAAGAATATTTAAATAGCCTATTTCTTTGGCGAGGGAGGAGAGAAGGAGAGAGCGCAATCATTCCAAGGCCTCCCTTTAAGTTACCAAAGGGTCTATGAACTCAAAGATGCTGATCATTTATCTTCAACAAACAGATGCAGTTCTTCATAACAGTCCCTTTTTCCTAGCAGGGAGGCTGTTATGCTTTCAATACCAGCTGAGGAAAAAATAAGCTATGAGATACAATTTTGCTGCCTCAGAGAAAAGCAAACAGCCGATCAATTCCTTTTTAAATGCATGTCTCCATCTTTTCCTGCCAACTTCAATATCTAACTGGTGAAGGACTTTAAAATAAGAAAAGCAATCACTTTATTTATGAGCACCAGAGAATCTCAGAGTGTCTTAATCTAGGAAAGTATACCACCTTCTTATGACTCTGCCTAGGGAAATAACCAACCAGCTGATTTCTAAAATGCCTTACTAGGCGAGTTCAGAGTACTAAATCTGATCATTTTTAGTATGCAAACCAATGAAAAAATGTGCAATTCTACTGGAAGAAATCTCTTTACATTTTTAGAAGTAATGTGATGAACCTCCAAGAATGTCCCAACAAGCTTGGAATTCATGTACTTAAGTATGTGGGCACCTAACCATTAACTAAACACAATATATTCCTAATAAAAACTCCAAAAACTCCTGCTTGGCTTGCATGATTAAAACTAAAAATAATTCAAGATATTGTCTGATAATACATGCCTTTTTAAATCCCTCTGGGTGAGCAATGACTATCACCATCATACATTTGACAGTTAAGAAGTAAAGCTACACTTTATAAAGCACCAGCGATTACACATTTCATGTTACACATCATTTTATACATGCTGAGCAAATTGGATTAAGAATTAATGGATTAATATATGACACAGAAACTATTATACATATATGTGTGTACACATACACATGCATATGCTACCCAGCTCTGTCCACTGAGAGGGTTTAGAAGCAATGACACCCCAGTAACAATGAGCATACCCAGCTCCAGATCCTGATTTCTAAATGCCATTCTCCAATAAAAGGACCCAGGGCTCCTTGGGAAAATGGTTGATTCTAATGTTGGGGCAGGGAAAATAAAAGATAAAGCTGAAGTATTTCTGAAATACTCAAAAGTAAGTGCCCAAATCTACATTTTAACTCTTGTTTTTCACAACAGGAGACTTTCTGTTAGGTAAAGGAAGAAAATCCTATTATGATTAGATTGTCCGTATGTGATTAATGACTGTTGTTGCATCCCTTCTTTTACCCCCAAATATGCAGCCCTGCATTCCCTAATCCCGAAAAGTGCACAGAGTAAAGGGACGGACACATATAAAAGGCAAAAGCAGTTAGGGATTAGTCACAAAAGAAAATCATACCGTGCAAAATTCAAGCTTTTTACCAGTTCATCTAATACGCGGTTGTTTTTCAGGTCCGGCTCTGTGACTGTCTGGAAAAGAAAAACAACAGATAGAAAAAGGTCAGAAACAATAATTAACTTGTCATAATCTTGTTTTTGAAAACGTATGTCTCATCCTCCTGAGATTCCCCATCCCACTAAGGCTTCCAGGAAAACCTCAAAATAAAGTTCATTCATCTCATACTAACACGGAATTTTAAAACAGTGAATCACTCTCTGCTGACTGGAAGTCTGTTTAAAAACTCTCCAAAGCATCTGGTAAAAACACATGTACTCTGTACTAAGACAAAACCTAACATGAGCAAGAATCCTTCTTCAAAATGCCAGCACTCAGCTTTCCCAAAAATGTCTCCTGAAAAGCAGAACAGAGATGCTCTTTTAAAGTAATAACACAGGAGCCTTAGGTGCTCAAAGAGATTTTAAAAACAAGATTGGTGTTCAAGACTGCAAGAGGAAAACGATAAACCCAGTAGCTATCTAGCGTAAACGGCATACACTTTATCTCTGTGATGATACCATCTTGATGACAGCAGCATCCCTAGTTGGAAAGAGCTTAGACTTGGGAGCCAAACAAGTTCAGTGACATCCTGACACGATGCACCTACCAGAGGCACCAAACTAGAACCCAAACCCTTTAATTAGCCCCGGTGTCCTTTCTATCAGACCTTACTATCTCTTTTCCTTCTTTCTTTATTCCTACTTATGTTTACCTTCCCTTTTTACATACCTTTTCACCTATTTCCACTACATAAAATGCTTCAGAAACTTTAACAAGTTTCTTGGTGTTTTCCCTGAAGGCCTGGTTTGGGAAAAAGGTAAGGGGCCAGTTAAGCTGAATCTTTACCTTCTGCACAAATACTTAAACATCAATCCTTTGCAAATAAATGATCCTACCATCAGATTTTCTACCCAAGTTGAGAAATTATAAAAAGTGAGGAGCCATAAAAACACAGTTCATAAGAATTAAAGTGTGCTATGTCCTGATCTTAAAATTAGTTTTTTCTTCCTAAAATACATGTAGGTTATCAGAAATCTTTATGAAAAGTTGAACAAAGCCCAGTTCTCCATATATGTATTTTATAAGTCCTTTCTGAAACTGTCTTTGATATAGCTTAATTCAATAATTATACATCTTCCCTGGGCTTTTGTGTATACATGAAGCAGAAATATCTGCACGACTTAGTTTAAAGGAAAAAAAGAAAAGAAAAACTCACCACACAGCAAGTTGGACATTGTGTTTTATAGGACAGAAATTTTCTTATACAAAGAGAACAGTCTGCAAAAACACAAATGCAACATAATAAATTACTTAAGCTGTATAAGACTATTGGATTCTGACTTCTAACAAAACCTGACTTAAACCCTAGAATATTTCCATCATCTAAGGTATATCATTATAATCTCAAAATTCTAGTACCTCTACTCTATCTCTACACATTTGCAAATATGATTAAATAGCATTTTTAGAAAAGGGAAACATATCAAATAATAATAATTGAGTCCCTAGCATATCACAACTCTATAAGCAACATGTATCACTCTCTGTATCTTCCATCTGTAAAATGAAGGAAACATACACGTAAGACCTAGGATGAATTTGTATAAACATGTCAGATATCTCCACTGCCTAACATTCTAAAATATAAATTTTGAAATAAGATCTATACATGTGTTAAGAAATAATATATACCTGGATTATCAAATTAGGGATTTCTACATCCTAACTCTGTAAATGATACCCTTCATCCCACACTTTACAAATACTTTTGTGGCAGACACTAAGGAAAGAGGGAAGATTCTTGACCTCAAGGAGTTAAAAAAGCGTGAGGCAATTACAGTACAATTCAGTGTATTAAGGACAATGTATTAAGTCTTAACAATTTAAGTGGAAATTGGCATGAACTAATTCTTCACACCCAAAGCAGCATAAAATGATCTCCCCAAATGTGACTAATACAATGGTACCTTACTGGTACCATTTGCTATTGGCACAAATTCACCTTAGTGAGGGGGCCTCATTAAAGGATTCAGTTTAGTTAAGGAGAAGGAGGCAGTAGGATTTCGGGTACAGACATCCTGGAAGTGAACAAGTCATGCCAGCCTCAGTAAGAGCACCCAGGAACAATGAAACACATTATGAAAAAGAAAAATCAGGCAACAAGTGAAGTTCTTTGGGGAAGCAAAGAAAAATAAACGAGGACTTCCAGTTTGGCACATAAGGAGCTTGGAAGTCATCACTCCCTCTAATAACCCGTAAAAAGCTGAACAAACTAAAAAATCAATAATCCTTCCGAGATCCATCAGAGAAGTGACCTTATGAGGTAAACTGCTGCCTCCAAAACTGAAGAGACAGACAGGATGGATACAAAGAAATATAACGTACCAGACCAGAAACTTCCATGGGAACCAGAGAAAGAGGTTCTGCTGGAACCACTGTTGGCATAGGAAAATCTGAACTGTAATTGACCAATTGCTGGAGGCTCAGTGTGGACAAGTCTGAGAGTTAAAAACTCAATGGGGACCCAGGCATTGGGGAGGGGAGGCCTGACAGTTATGTGAGTTTTTGCTCCAAGGGTTCTACCAGGTTCTCACAGTGACTATAAGAAAAAAATTCCCTAGTTCTTCTGCAGGGAGAGGGGGAAAAGTAAATCATTTTGAAATACACAAGAGCACTCTGTTCTTCTTAACAAGGCCTAACTTCAAGAGAAACAGTTTTACTGGAGCCTATTCTATTGGGCTATTACCAGAGCCCAGCTAACCTGGGGGATGGGAAATAACCAACTTCAGCTACCTCTAGCCATCCTGTCCCACCTAAGGGGGTAAAAAATTGAGAACCACTTGTGAAGTTCACAGTCCAGGGCACAGGCTCACTAAGAGACAGACCTAATTGTAGGAATATAGAACACTACCCAGCCCCCACCAATCTCATGACACATTACTACAGGCCTATTTACTACACTTGCTTTTACCCAGTACATCATGTCCCACTATTAGGAAAAAATTATAAGGCATACTAAAAGGCAAAAAGCACAGTTTGAAGAAACTGCAGGCATCATTAGCATAGTTAGATATGGCAGGAATGTTGGAATTATCAGACCAGAAACTTAAAACAACTATGATTAAGATGCTAAGGGCTCTACTGGACAAAGTAGACAACATGCAAGAAGAAATGGGTAATGTATACAGAGAGGTGAAAATTCTAAGGAAGAATCAAAAGAAGAAATGCTAGAGATGAGAAACTGTAGAAGAAATGAAAAATGTCTTTCACGTGCTCATTAGTAGACAGGACACAGCTGAGGGAAAAAAAAAATCACTGCACTTGAGGATATCTCAATAAAATCTTCCAAAGCTATAAAGCAAAAAGAAAAAAGATTGGAAAAAAAAACCCCACAGAACAATATTCAAGAACATTTTTTAGCAGGGCAACTATAAAAGGTGTAACATACACGTAATAACAATACCAGAAACAGAAGAAAAAGAGAAAGAAAGCAAGAAATATTTGAAGCATTAATGACTGAGAATTTCCCTCAGATTGTCAGACACCAAACCACAGATCCAAGCAGCTAAAAGAACACCAAGAAGGAAAAATGCCAAAAACCCCACAACTTGGTATATCACATTCAAACTGTGGAAAATCAAAAATAAAGAAAAAATCTTGGAAAAAGCCAGAGGGGAAAGAACACCTTACTTACAGATGAGCAAAGGTAAGAATTAAATCTGATTTCTCAGAAACCATGCAAGCAAGAGAGAAAAAACCCACCAACCTAGAATTTTATATTCTGCAAAATGATCCCTCAAAAGTGAAAGAGAAATAAAAGACTTTCTCAGACAAACAATAATTAAGGAAATGTGCTCCCAGTAGATTGACATTGCCAGAAACGTTAAAAAAAGAAGTTCTTCAGAGAAAAGAAAAATAATATAAGCCAGACACTTGGATCCACATACAGAAAAGAAGAGCAATTCCAGAAGGAATAAGTACAGGTAAAATTAAAACCTTTTTTTCTCATTCTTAATTGATGTAACAGACAATAGTTTGTTCAAAATAATAATAGCAGCAAATTAGATTATTTATGCTTATGTAAATATACATATGCTTATGTGTAAGTAAAATGAATGACAGCAGTGATACAAAGGACTGGAGGGAGGAATTAGGTGTCTTACTCTGCCTGCCGTAAAAAATACCACAGACTGGTTGCTTAAACAACAGGAATTTCTTTTCTCACAGTTCTGGAAGCTAGAAGTTCCAGAAGCTAGAAGGCGCCAGTATCATAGGTTTGTGGTGAGGACTCTCTTCCTGGCTTATATACAGCTGCCTACTCACTGTGTCCTGTCATGGCCAGAGAAGAAAGAACAAGCTTTCTACAGCTCTTCTTTTTTTTAATTTTTCTACATCTCTTCTTATAAGGGCACTAATCCCACTATCAGGGGCATCTCCCAAAGGCACCACCTCCAAATACCATCAAACTGGGGCTGAGGGCTTATGAATTCTGGGGTGGGAGGGAACACACTTCAGTCCATAGCATTTCACCCCTTACCCCCAAAATCCATGTCCTTCTCACATGCAAAACACATTCTCCCCATCCCACCAATCCCAAAAGTCGTAATTCATCCCAACATCAACTCTAAAGTCTGAAGTCCAAACTCTCATCTAAATATCACCTAAACCAGATGTGGATGAGACCTGAAATATGATTCATCCTGAGGCAAAATTCCTCTCTAGACTCATTCTCTTGACTATCAATGTTATTCTCTCCACAGTATATAAACTCTCCTGAGTGATACTGTAAGTCAAGAATTCCCAAACCTGGCTGCTCATCTGAGTCACCTGCAGAGATTATTGTTGGCTTTAGTTTAGTTGCCAGGCTCTATCCCCAGTCTTCAAGAGAAATCCAATGGATTTTGATCAGTAAGCCACATCCATAATATGTGATTCTGATTGAACAACAATTATTTTTTTTAATTAATATGCTTTTGTACTAGATTGAACCATATGAAACTTTTGGTAAGTCAAAAAAGGACAAATATTGGCAATTTCATTCGATTTAACATAACAAACTCTGTTTTAAGCATGTTAGCTGTATTAACACTTTCAATCCATACAGCAACCCTGAGGTCGGTACTATTAGTCCCATTTTACAAGAAGGAAAATGCAGCATACAGCTTAACCAACTTGCCCAAGATTATGGAATTAATAGGTGGCAAAGGCATGTATCAGAGCCCGAGCTTTTAACATATTTCTAATTAATTATTTAAAATATTTATAATTAATAAATTTATAAATAAATAAAATATTTATAATTATATTTATAATTTGCTTATAAGAAGCACTTATTATATATACCTATGTAATACCAATATGTACTTAATTAATAGGATCACCTGTATCAGAGTATGTAAAATGAGGCTACTGCTTTCTCTTCTGCATAATCTTATACGTGTTTTCTGTTTAAACATGGAGAACCAGACACTAGTCCAAAGTGGATCAAGCCCTTGGCTTAATTTCAACTTACCAGTCTACTACCAAATATGTACTGGTGAACTGCAGACCAGCATAATTTATTCTCTAGTGAGCAACCATGATATTTCAATCAAAGTAGAGCAGTTGAACAACTTTGAACCGTGTATTCCTAGCTGGCTTTATTTAAATCACCTGTGAAGTTTGTTTTTCCACCCAAAAGCCCAACTATGAGCCATGTGTATAGGGTGGGGGAGGGAAGAATAAAACAATGAAATAAAGGGTAGTTTCAAAGAGGCAAGCAAGCCTGGGGAAGGAGGTATTTCTAATCTCAAACAGGATGCAGCCATCTGCTGGCTTTCATATATCAGAAGAGCATAGCATCCTGACAGTAAAAAGCAAGTTTCTAAAACTTAAACCAATCCATTTTGCATGTGATCTTAAGGATTTTATGAGAAAATGAACCATGTCAAAAATAATTCTAAAGTGTCCAATTAAAAAAAGAAAATCCAGGGCTTCCCTGGTGGCGAAGTGGTTGAGAGTCCGCCTGCCGATGCAGGGCACGTGGGCTCGTACCCTGGTCCGGGAAGATCCCACATGCCGCTGAGCGGCTGGGCCCGTGAGCCATGGCCACTGAGCCTGTGTGTCTGGAGCCTGTGCTCCGCAACGGGAGAGGCCACAACAGTGAGAGGCCCGCGTACCACAAAAAAAAAAAAAAAGAAAAAAAGAAAATCCAGTTCCAAGTTTGAAAGGTATAGGAGATGCTTTCGAAGGATCCTTTCAAAGCTGAGAAAGCTGGCCTCTGCCTCTAAGTCCAGTGT